CTTCGGAGTCTTCAGGGTGTTATAGCTTGTGTGATGGGATCTTGTTTGTTTAAGCTTAGGGGTTTGATATGAGAAGGGCATCTAGGGGTCGTACTGCAAAGCAGGTTACCAAGAATTTACATCTTTATTACATATGATTGTGAAGTTCATCTTGGAGATGTTGAAGCAGTTCCTTATACCGGCTTATCCATTCCTTGCCACCTAGTAGTTATTAGGCTGGATCTCACATGGCCCTGCTGTCTGGAACCACGATCGAGATGGCAGGCTTCAACAATGAGGGGTGCCAGAACATCTGTGCAACATGCGGAATTCCTCAAGGAAGGAGTCCGAAAAAGAAAGCAATCTCAAGATGTTAGCGCTGAACCCTGTCTGTCATTTTTGTTTACCCCCAACTTGGACACATGAGCGGACTTGATCCCGAGGCAAAGGCTACATCTATCCGGAATTCTTTGGCCAGGCCAGAGGGATGTCCTTAGGTTAAGTGTTTAGAAAGCGGGGGGTTCCATGAACAAGGGGCACCCCCTAGCAATGGAGAGTCACATGCAAGAGAACATGGAACATTAAATAGAGGCTGCGATGAGAACAGGGTGTTCGAGGATTTTCAGAAGTAGAAGGCCCCAACCATGGCTATGTGAGCAAGAACTCCATATCCTACCCTAAGTCCTACACCCTACACCCTAGACCCTAACCCTACGCCCTAAACCCTAGGTGATATCCTACCCTACGTCCTACACCTAAACCCTACGCCCTAAACCCTGTGCGTGCAAGGGTTTAGAGTTAGGATTATCCTCATGATGGGAACCAAAAAGAGCTAAACCCTAAACCCTAAATAGTGGTTTCCATTTTCTTTTCCATTATCCCTATATAACTCTGACGCAACCCTATATAACCCCTTTATCCCCTTTATCCCGTTTAAACCCTAAACCCTGTCGAGATCCCCACCAGTCTTCAGAAGTGGGTTCTTGCCAAATTATTAGGGAAATGGACAGGAGAATGGATTATAATCAAATGGAAAAGAAAATGGAAATGACATGGAACATCGGATTATATGGGGGATTATAGGGAGTAGGGTTTCCCAAAATAGGGGTACTCTTCGGGGTCCCTATTATAAGGAATATAGTATTTTGGGGTTTATGCTGGGGTCCCCTTATTTTGGGAAACTACGACAGTTTCAGACAGCTAAAGTTGTGACTCTACGGGATGTGTGACAGGCGATATCATCGGGTCAACGTAATCAAGTTGAGTGATCGAGGAGTTTCCATTGTTCCAGAAATCAGAGGCTTTTTTTGGGGGATCCCAATGGAAAAGATTTCAGATCGCTTCTGGAATGGTGTCCTGGCAGTGGCGGGTGCCAAATAGCTTGATTGTGGTTGCAACCCTTGCAGTCATGACAATACCTGTCAATGCTATCTGGCCCATTACTGGTAGTCTCATCAAAGCATGTCGCCAGTTCTGGAATAGATTTCTGAGTCCCAACCCCTCAACCGGGTGAAGGTGAGCGCCACAAGCCAGCTCTTGCGGCATTGCTCTTCGCCAAGAATCCGGAAGGATGTTCGGGTGAGAGTGGGTTTTCGCATGTGTACCCACCTCTGGAATTGCATGTGCAGACATATTCCTTCAACAATCATAAACAGGACTGCCTGTTTGCATCATCCGTGTGGCGCCATGCACCTCGCTGCAACCTTGCAACCTGTGCCAAGATTGTCTCTAGCAGTCTTCTGAGTTCATCCTGGTTGGCACTGCCAACATGCCAAAATGCCAAGAAAGTGTGCAGTGGCCTGGAACTGACATGAGCCATAGTCTAAACTCCCAGTATCCCCCTTAGTAACCCCTATAGTAGTCCCCTATGTAATCCCCTATATAAGCCCATGTAAGGAGTTTAGATTATGGCTCACATGACATGTTGTTACTTCATCTTCCAGGACGCCTTTACATTCAACGCTTCAGCGCAAGATCTTCCCGAAGGCGCGGGAATACGACGGCAGAGCAGCTTCCTAGAACTTTGTAGTCGATAGATTGGCTTCATGCTCAAAACACTGTGTATAATCTACTATAATGTACAGCAATCTACTATTATATACTGGAAGATACAATAATAAGCCCACTGGCAAAGCCCGACAGAGGTGGACTGAGGAGCCCTGTGAAATTGTCTCGGTCCAGTTCGTCTTAAGAGGTTTAGGGTTTTAGGGTTTAGGGAGTGATATGTAAGAGAATCTCCGAGAGGTAGGGTTTAGGGTTTAGGGTTTAGGGTTTAGGGAGTGGACTTCTGGCAATTTCTAGGAAGCAGGGTCTCGAATGCCCCGATAATTTTCCCCTCAGGAGATATGTAAGAATATTGGGACTTACCAACTTTGACAGATGCCCATCTGGTTTCAGTAATGCATCTTTTCATTGTCGTTGTTATCATTGTCCAGCGGCGCAGGGCGGCTGCCTTTGGAGTGCCGCTGGCTATGGCCGGGAGTAGGGATCTTGGCCAGGGCCTCTGTGCAAGGGTAACCTCTACATACCCACGGTTTCCATGTGATTTTCCATTTTAATTTCCATTTGATTCTCCATTATTGGGGTAATATCCTTTAATCTTAAACCCTATTATGCTAGTCTCCATGTCATCTTCCATTTGATTCTCCATTATTGGGGTAATATCCCGAAACCCTAAACCCTATTATACTAGTCTCCATTTCATTTTCCATTTGATTCTCCATTATTGGGGTAATGTCCCTTGAAAACTCCCTTTGGGGATCGGCTCTGGGCTTGAAGAGTTTTGGAAGCTGGGGGCTTTGGGTTTTTGAGCCTTCAGGTTCAGCCAGGTACAGGTACATGCGTTCGGAGTTTCCAAGTTCACTGAAGTTTTGCCGCGCTTCCGAAGCTTTTCCCAACAAGCCCGATTCCAAACGTACTATTGCTGTGGGTTGGGTACCTACGCAACCACTATGGCAATGAGAATCCTTGCGTTCTACCTTGCTCTTCGGAGGCCACTTTGGAATAGGTACGCGTCCCGTAGGTGTTAAACCCTTGCTTCAGCAGCTGCTTTTAAGGAGGTGCCGATTTGTTATATTAAATTCTGGTATAGCTCGCGATGCAACAGCAGCTGGCAGGGGACCCTGAGAGAAAGGCAAACATGAACATTGAAATGGAGTTCATTTATGGAGCAACTAAGTGCCTATCTCTGATTCTGGCCTAGCTGGCCATCCAAAGCAAAAGCGTCGGAGGGTGTTAAACCCCTCCCGCGATAATAAACCACCCACCACGCTAATAATTACTCCCCTCACTAGCAAGCTACTTTGGAACGTCTTTTACCCACCCCTCAGCCTAGCAATAAACTACTCTGTGCTAGAGTACCCTGGAAGATTTTTTCGTTAGTGGGGGTGGGGTGTTCGTTATTAGGGGCAGGGGATGAACCCATAAACTGACGAAGCCGGCAGGCGAGGCAGCTCTGGAGCCCAAAGCCCTCCGGCGCGCAACAGAGCTCCCAGTCCCACAGGCAGCTGTGGGCTGCGCGGTAGGCCCGGCCGCTGGCGAGTAACCCGTCAGGTCGTACCCCAAACCTTGAAGCGGAGCACGCCATCCTCGAAATCGTTCTGTTGGGCTGGGCCATTTGGGCTCCCCCGGGGCCTCCCAGAGGCCTCCAGGGGCCTCCCAGGGGCTTTCAGGGCTTCTGGGTGTGAAATTTTTCGGACATCAGGACAAGCACTTTTTTCATTCAAGAGGCTCCACAAACCTCGCAAGGGGCCTTCTGGCTGCCAGGGGCCTCTGCAAGGGCCTCCGAATTTCTCAGACCCCTTCCGGCCCAGGGGCCTCCCAGCCTTCAAGGGGCTAAGAGGCACCTTACAAGTCTGGACTATCAGAACGTGTGTCCCGGTGTCTCGGGGAAGAATCTTGTGTCTCGGGGTGTCCCGGTGTGTCCCGCGGTGTCTCGGGGTGTTCGGCGTGTTCGGGGTGTCTCGGGTGTCTGGGGGTGTCCCGCGGTTTCCTCGTGGCGCATGTCCCGGGGTGCGCCCGGACCCTCGAGACACTGCTCGTGACACGTGTCCCGGGCAACACCGTGACTTCCCGGGACACCCCGAGACAAGCATCTTTTACACATTCCAGCAATCGTGGCCGCTTTTTTTCTCGAAGCGGCCGCTGAAATCCTGCACAGGTGTGCGCTCGGCGCGCTGGCCGAAAATTTCGCCCTGTGTGGGCGGACACGAAAAGTGAATGCGAGAAAATCCGAGAGAAGCCCCTTCCTGAGATTTGCACTTACACGTGAGCGTGCACCCTTGAAAAAATAGCCACCCTGCCTATGTTTTCACGAAAATCTGGCCTCGCTCGTGCAATGGTTTTCCTCTTTCTATGGGCTTCTGGACTTTCCCTGCTGATGCTAATCTTGGTTTTGTGCTTTTCGTTGCGTTTTTCTACGAACAATTAAGTTAGGAGCGGGAGTTCACCTGCCGCACGTGAGACTCCCTACGGTGCGGCCCGGGTCCTGCCACAGCTGCAGCGGCTCGGGGGCTGATCGCCGGGTGTCCTGTAGAACACGACAACCGCCGGGTCAGGAGCCGTGTGACAGGCAGACTCAACTCCTGGCCTCCCTACCCGGGGGGATGGGGGGCTTCGGGCCCCCTCCTCTCAGGGGCCGGGCATGCCCAACGTCAGTCTTGTTGCTTCCCGCCGTTTATTGTTTGTTGGGCTAGGCCGGTATATACACATTGCTCAGACGCTCCATAGAGCCTCGAAGCTAGCGAAAAAAAGTCTCGACGAGTCTCGCTGTGGTGAGGGATCGTGGCGAGAGAGTCTGATGTGGGCAGGTGTCTTGCTGCTAGTGTCATCGCTATACTGTTGTTATCTGTCATTGATCCTCATGCTGCTTCTTTTCTTGCAAGACTGTGCGGTCGTAGTGGTGCTCTCTGTGCTGCAGCCACAACCCATGAGCCAGCTTGAAAAGGCCACGTGTCGCCCCAATTTCTGCCATTCTTGTAGCGCTTGCGTAGGTAGCCAGTATAGTCTCTAGGACCTTCGCAATGGGCAGGCGTTCTGGTGGTTCCGGCAAGGGCTGGGGCAAGCCCACACCGCGGCCAGTGCCGACGGAGTGCACAAAGCTGCAAGTCGTCAAGGAGTGGGACCACCTCGGCAAGAAGCTTTTAAAGCCCTATGCAGACAGGCGCGGCACCTTCCTGAAGACTAACGACCTGGCTGCGCCGAAGTATTTGGAGCCTTCCAACTTTCGGGACATTGCCGCGGATGCCGCCGTCAGCGAGCTCGTCGCGCGCCCTACCATGGGACTCAATTTGTTCGCTGCCTCCTGCGAGGTCGGCGTGGAAGCCTTGATAGCCGCTGCGAGCGGACAGCCCGGCACAGGCATCTCAGACTGCCCGGAAACTTTTCAAAGCCTCTCAAACAATCTGGCAACCGCCCAAATCGACGCGGACGTCCTGGCCGCGGCTGTCAAGGAGCTGGTGAAGTTCGCGCAGGAGAATACGGACTCCAAGTTAAAGACCCTGCCCAAGCTCCTCGACTCCAGTTCCAGGCTTTACAGCTTCGCCGCACGCGTGGCGCAGTGGGTGGTGCTGGCATCCAAGCCAAAGGCTTGGGCAAAGGCAGTTCCGACCCCGCCTCTTCAGCATCTGGCCGTGCAGACTTGGTTGGAAGATCCCACCAACGCGGACAAACTCATCAACGCCCTGACGGCTGGCATCACATCTCGATTCCATTGGGGTGGTTGCCACCAAGGGAAGCGCCGTCTGGGAGACTCGGGGTCGGATCACTCCCACGCAGCCAAGAAGCGTAAGCGGAGGAGCAGTGGCTCTGCATCCAAAGCTTCTTCCTCATCGTCTTCGACCGATAAAAAGAAGAACAAGAAGAAGCAAGCCAAGCGTAAGGAGTCCAAGGAAAAGAAGCGGGACAAGACATCCGAAAGCAGCTCCCACAATAAAAAGGACAAGAAAGACAGGAAGAAGCACAAAGCAAGAGGCAGGGACAGGTCCAGCTCTCTTACAAAGAACCCGGACAAGAAGGTTCTCCTCATCGCCCTGATCGGTGTCGGCAATGACCGGCTGGGCCAAATCTGAGGTGCAGTCGGCGCAGGAAATCTGGGTGCAGTACGCAGTCGAGCTGCAGAACGGCACGGCCAGCGACCTCGCGGTGTACGCCAAGAACGTGGACTGGTTCCTCCGGCAGTTCGCGAAGCTCATGGTCTCGACACATGAGCGCAAGAAGATGCCGTCCCAAGGCGGGCAGGTCGGCGAGTCCATGCTGACCGTTATCGCCGCGGCCCTAAAATTCTACGAGCGCAAGAGACGGCAGCTTCTGACCAGCGCTAGCGCTGCAAGTTTTGGTAGGCCACTCGTGACTGGTGCCCTCGGGTCTCAGGACAGACATAGAGACAGCACTTCTCGAATAACTGCAGCCAAACCGGTAAAAAAAGGCGTGCGCTTTGGCCCTGCTCTCGTCGCACTGTCCTGTCTAGGCCTGCTGTTGCTGTCTGCAGCTTGGCGTGTGTCCTCGTAGTATTTCTGATGCGTGTCATGCGCCTGAGATATTGAGCGCTCCTGTAACACTAGCAGCAGGCAGACTTGTCATTGCATATCGCACGTGCAACAGCATGTTCTGTTGTTTCAGCTCTGTGAAAGATGATCTCCGGATTTGTAGATTGCTGCCATGCCTGTGAAGTGCGCTGGTCGCGGAGGCGCAGCGTGCACCTTCGGCGTCAATGACTGGCGGCGGGCACACACAGTGCGCCTGGTGTAGCCCTGCCCGCCTTGAGACTGCTGTCACGACTGCCGCTGCTCGCGGCCCTCTGGTGAAACCTTTCGGCGCAGGACCGAGCAGCAGCAAGCGCGAGCGCAGCGCTTGGTGCCGGACAGCTTCCAAGAGAACTTTCGCAAAATCCTCGGTAGATCCGACAGGTGCGAGGGCTGGGGTGGGGCAGCCTGCGCTTTCGCAGAAACTTCTGCTGGTGGCAAGGTCACACACTTCACGCCCGCAAATCACGCTGCCTATTCTGTGACCATGAGAACCTCGCTGTGGCCTGCCTCCGCTGTCTGACTCGAAATTGGAACTTGGCGGTAGCGTGCTCTTCACCTACCCTGCCAACCGCCAGTCGGATGCGAGCCAAGCTTCCTGCAGAGGTGGCCGTCGACACCTACCACGCCGCCTTCGGCCTGGACGAGGAAGTGGGATCCGTGGCCGCCAGCCTGGCGCAGTACAGCCTCATCATCATCATCGACGAGGTGTCCCATCTGCAGCTCACGCACTTCGAGCACGTTTGCGGCTGTGGAACCAGGCCGATAATGTCCCCGCCATACTCCTTGCGGGCGACGAGATGCAGATGGGCGGCTTCGGAGAGAGGCGCGCCTGGCACAGCCCCATGTGGAAACGCATGGTCTACAGTCTACCGCATCAAGCTGCATGAGGTTTATCGCTGCAAGGATCCCGAGTTCAATCAAGTCCTCATGGAACTGCGCACATGTCGCCCAAAGGCCAGCACCATGAAATGGCTTCAGAAGCGCAAGGCCTGGGCCCCGCCGCAGGAGCCGACGGTGGCGGGCGTTCGTAAGCTCCTCAAGGCCCACCCGGACACCGTCATTCTAACGTGCACCCGGCACGGAGCGCATACCATGATCTGGCCTTGCGTGCGCTCTACCCATCTGGCTCTCCTCTGGTCCTGCTGCCCGCCGACGTGGACTCCAACCCTGACAACTACAGTGGCGGACAGCTTTTGGAGAACATGTCTGCCCTCGAGCCTTTGCGCCTCCCCATCTACAAGGGCAGGCGAGTGGTCTTCACCCGGAACGTTCGCAAAGACGTCGATGACGTCAATGGGATGGATGGCAGTGTGGTGTCTTTCAACCCAAGCACGCAAGGCGTGGAGGTGCTCACTGTCACCGGCTTTCGGGTGATGGTCTGGCCCTGGACTGACGTGGAGCGTGGTGACGTGACCTACTACCCGATCAAGGCAGGGTATGTGGACACGATCATCAAGCTTCAGGGGGCAGAGCTCAAGCACATCACGGCGTTCCTGGATCGGCCGGGCGTTCCTGGCGCGGCATTCACGGCCCTCAGCCGCCTCAGCTACGGCACGGACTTCCTCATCGGTGGTGTCGTGAATGCGGACCACTTCCGGCCCGTGGACGAGTCCTGAGAGGTTCCCGTTGCGATTTTCCAGACACGCCGCAAACTGGCTGATGTCTGCATGAGAGCCATTCGCTGAGGGGTGACGTTTCTCCCGTCTCCGCAGAGTGTCATGTTGCGGCAGTGGGCCCTCTGTCCGTGTACGTCACACGAGCAAGACATGTTGCCGACTTTGAGGACTGCGCGGCTCATTCGGCGGACAAAAAATGCTCGTGCAACCATGAGCAGGCAAGGGCGCATTACGCATGAGAGCTTGTTGGACATCCTTTGTCTTCTTTCTGGGACACACTTGACCGTGCGCAGCCATTTCACCAAGACAAGGCCTCGCCATTTTTTTTGCCTTCGCTTGGCTTCGGTTCTGTGCTAGTTCGGGCAGTGGGCTCACGGACGAAAGAACAGGAGCACGATCAGAGTTCAGGAGAACCCTAAACCCGTGAAGGTCAAGGCGAGGGTGGAGCGCCAGCGGGGGTGGGCTCGTGCGGGTCAGGGTGCGCGCCTGGGTGCTTCTAGCACCAGCGCACCCCCTCACTGAGACACCCTAAACCCTAAACTTTAAATCCAGTGTTAAAGGCTCAGGTGGGGCCTGGTACACTAAACTCCACGTCTCCTGCGCCAGCCAGGACTTCCCAAAGTCCCCGAGCTCTACACTCCCAAGACTTGACGTCCTAGACCCCCAACACCTCAAAGCTTGACCCCTGGACCCCATGAACCACTAAAGCCCTGTCATCAGCCCATGCCGTAGTTTTTAGAGGGTAGACAGCCAGTATATTAGGAGCCCAGGAGTAGGGGCCCATACGAAACCTTACTGAAGCCTAAGCCCTAAAGCCTCAAACACCCCCCAACCCCCCCAAGAACAACCATAAACCCTAAAGCCTTAGCCCTAAACCCTTAAGCCCTGTTGTCAGTCCTTCCTTGCCACCTTCTGCGCCCTTTTGGGCCTGGCTCTGCTCTCCGCCGTTGGTTTCATCTGCTGCGGCTCCTGTGGGTGGGGACCTTTGCTAGAAGTCTGGGTTAATGCAGTGGTACGTGGGTGGTTGTTAAAATTATGATCCCTCTTTGGGTACCCTAGATATTAGGTGCCGTATTACAANNATTTTGACAACCACCCATGTATGGGGGTTTAAGTTTTCAGGTTTTTCTGCACAAGCTTTTGGCAAGAGAGGCGAAATCACAAACCCCTATGCAACTTTCACCGCAACGGCACTCCACAACACCAGTCCGTGTAAGAGTCCTGTAAACTCCTTGCTGTGGCCATGATGGGGAACACCTTCATACAGTTTTAGTCATACCATGGCACATATGAGCTGTAGTTTAACCTCCT